GCCAACAAGTGAATTAATAAAATATATCCCTTAATATTAATATTAATAAAATATATCTATTAACCAAAAAATATAGTGTTATCCCCTAAGGCAAGTTTTTTTTTTTTTGGCTTTTCTAACTTGCTTATCATTTTTCACAAGGATTCTTTCCCCTCTAGATACAAAACCAACAATTTGGTCAGAAAATTTATTTTCTGAAATATTTTGGAAAATATTTACATGCCTTTGAGTGCGTAATAACTACAATCTTCTTGACACATTAGGAAAATGAATACAGGTGCTAGAGTCAAAACAATCTATTTCTAAAGCCTGTGTCAAATGAAAATTTGACTTCATTCATTCAAAATGAATACTTTACCAAATAACACATTACAAAAAGCATATTGTGTGTGTTTGTGGGTATATTCTACTTCATTGCAAGTAACACAATTCCTTAAATGCAATGAAATATACTCTCAGGATATATATATGAGTGTGTGTGTGTGTGTGTGTGTGTGTGTGTATACTCTCAGTATGTGAATGTGTGTGTATACTCTCAGTATGTATGTGCATATTCATATATGTATGCATATTTTATATATTATATATATATAATATATTATATATATAAAGAGAGCGAGCACACACAAAAGGGAAAGCAACATGGACAGGAAAAGAAGAAAAGGAAACGGGATATTCCATGTTCTGTTCGCTATTTACAAAAGCCTTCTATTTATGCTTTTTGAATGAATTAGACTCCTCCTAGAAGAACTGAACATCTCACTTCAAGGACTTTAATGACTTCTTCTACAAGCTATATAGATTATATAACATTTTGGTAGCATTGAGACTCAGTGTAATTAGATAATTAAATTATCTAACTATGATGTACTGAACTCCTTAACATTTTTTTCTGTAAATATGGCTTCAATGTTTTATATTTTATCTATGATAACATATTAGTTGTAATTTTTGTAGACTTCCAGTAAAATATTATTTAGTATCTTTTTTTAGCAAAACTTCAGAAAAATTAAACATCTGAATCAATTTAAAAGAATACAACTGAAAGTTAATCTGGCTGGAGAATATTTTATGGGACAATGAAAAACGAGAAAAAGAACAAATTTCTGCTCCATGACTTCTAGGTGCTAAGGGTTAAGTACATACTACACTACCAGGTAAAATTTATGAAACAAAGAAATTAAGTAATTAGCCAAGTCCAGGTCCCAATGCTAGTTAAAGTTGAAATTCAAACTCAGCTTCCTTTACTTCAAAGTCCACGTTGTGTACATTTTATCACACTAGCAATTTTCTAAAGCAAAAAGTTGGAGATGCAATTTGATACTGTGAACTGTCTTTCAACTGGATATTTTATAGTTTTCAGTTTTTACTTCTAGCTTTTGAACTGAATCATTTGATTTCTTATACACCTCTGCTTTGTAACTATCAAGAGACACAGTGGGTAATATCATATTCTGCATTAATTAGTAGCTGTTCCACTTTTGATAAAAGGAAATTTTAGCACAAAAAATACATGTGTCCACCTGACAGATAGGTCAAACTTCAGGGCTAATTTTCCTTCTAGCCCTTGCAACTGAACTTTCTTATTTCTTCAGTAAATGGGAACTTAGGTATATGATCTAGGTTACTAAGTAATAGGTACAGGTGAAATAAGGGCATTAATGGTGCATTAAGACAAAGAAACTCGGGAAATGATGAAGTTTTATGGAAGGACGTAAGAAAAAGACAGATCAAGAAGGAAGAACTGTCTTTACAAAGCACATACACAAAAATACCCCACAGCATCATTATGGCCATGAAAAGAGCTGTCTTAGTGGTTAAGTGACCTCTTTTTCCTTTCCTATAAAATCATTTCTCAGTTTGCAGGACCACAACTCCATCTGCATGACTGCTCGTTCATTGTTACACACACTGTCCTGGTGTTGAAAAACAAGATCATCTGCCAGATTAAATATTATTGACTCATTGATAGAAATTTTTTTACTAGGAATGCATGTTGTGATGAAAGAACAGTCTTTTGTTGTTTTTAGAATGCTTACATGTAACTCTATTATTCATTTACTATCAACCATGGTGGATCTATGTAAGCAGTTTATTATTAAAAAGTTTTATGGAGAAACATGCAATCATTAATTTTTAAAGGGTTGTCTGAAACATGAATTGGCCTTTTTCCAAACTGAAAATGGGGTTTTTCCTCCATAGTTTTAAATAATCCCTTACATTCACATATGTGTGTGTATGTATATGTATATATGTATACACAAATATATGAAAAACTAATAATACAGGTTGCAACCAACAGTTTTGTTGAAAAAATGGGCCAACTGCCCATTCTATCATTCACACTTAGAGACTACCTACTAACCCTAAAGTTAAATGAATAATAATAATACAATATTAATGGCAGCTGGCATTTAATTTACTTATGATGATGTATTAGAGACTGTCCTAAGTACTTTGCAGTATCTTATTTTTTTCCTTCAAAACAGTTCTATAAGTTGGGTCCTACTATTAATCCCATTTTACAGGTGAGGAACCTGAGACTAAGCTATCCTGGGAAAAGGAACATGCTCACAATCACACCGTGGTCATTAGCTAAGCTGGGACTTTGATACAAATTTTTTGTCTTCAAAGCCCTGCTATCGCCTTAAGGTACTACCTTGAGGTAGCAGAAATTGGGGAAAACAGGTCAAAGGAAATTCTATCATCACTTCAGTCAGCACCTGCCATGCATGTATAAAATTGATCCAATCCTTAGTGTTACTTTTTCAAGAAAACAAAGAACCTTCTTGGAAAGAAAATTACATGAAAATCTTTGTGCATTTAGATATGTCTTCCTTGGTTTCATATTACCTTCTATGTCCAATTAAAACAATGCAAGTTTCCATTAGCCTTAGGTGGATACAGGGCAGACAACAGGTAGGCTTTGTTTTGTTTTGTTTTGTGACAGATGTGTTGTTAACAAAGGCCTCATATGGCTTTATGAACACCTTAACCCTCAGAACAGTTAAGGAGGAATTTTCTTTTTTTGCTTTAGAAATTCTTGACATATGACTTATGACCTAGGCATATAACTTTGGCAATCAGACTTGCCTAAGTTAGTTTACAGATTTTTCCATAAATAAATATATACATATAGTTTGAAATAAATGAAATTTATTTGAAATAAATGAAAATGAAAGTTCAAAATCCCACAATTAAATATATCTGTGTTCCAATTCTTTAACTTCTATAATCTTGACTTCTCCAGTAAGTCCAGGATGTTTAGATACAGGGTATTTTACCTCACTATCTCCAAGGAAGAGTTCTGCGTAACTGTATAGTGGTAACATTTGTATTTCTCTGGGGATTATATTTAATTTATTCTAATAATATCAATCATGTATTAAGTACTTATTCTCCAAGCAGCTTTTAAGTTATGAAATATTTCTAATCAGTATATCTTAACAATTTAGGCTTTTATAAGAGTATGTCATTCATGTTCACCTTAATATTTTTGTTTCTACTTTGTTCCTTTCTCTGATTTTCATTTAAGCATGGATTTTATCTTAATGCATTATATGTTTCAATATCTGGATAGATGTTGATTTTCCTTAAACAAGACAAAAATAACCAAATGATACAATAAGCCCTGTAGTGCCCTGTCTTTTCACCACTGCTGCTGAACATTTTTATGGACACTGTTCTCTTTTCTCTCAACATTCATGATGCATATGTATATGCAAGGCACCTCCCAAAGAATGGCAAAGAAGGAAGATACACTACCCAAATATCTGGGCATAATCTGACACAGCAGAAAAATTCTTCATCCTATCTTTCTTGGCTTTCAATTCATAAGCCCTTTGCATTCTAGTCTATAGCATAATCCCGTTGCTTTATTTTAAACATTAATAGATGTTTCCCCAGACTTTGTAATTAAAAGTAGATAGATGGTACTTTTAATGGCATGGCATGAATGTGCCCCGTTGATGCCCAAGTTTACACAGCTCTCAGAAAAACAGTGTACATTTGGTACTTTAAGACCTTAATCAAAAAGTATGGATTGTATATCCAATTGTTATGTTCAGGGAAATGTAACGGGATAACTAATTGGAATTAGCTAATTGGGGGACTTGGGATCACCAATGCTATTGACACAAATGTCCACCCTTATTTTACTAGAGCCAATGTAAAGCAACTGTCCCCAAAGTGAATCCTTTTTCCAAATGCCTTCCATATTATAAAATGATGATGAACTGCTCCAAGAAAAATTTTCAAAATCCAAGCTGAACATTTTGTTGTGAAAAAATTCTGTTGTTAATTCAGATTTGGCAAGATGGATGTTAAAATATTGAGATATATGGGTCATATTCCTTACCCAGAAGTTACTTCACTTTTAGGTATTTCTGATTCTAGATATAAATCTTCCGTAAGAACATCACATTCCATCTTTCCTTTCTTCATTTTATTTTTTCTTTCCTTTCCTTTCTTAATTATGTTGTGTAATAGACATGAACACCTCTACTTTACCACTAGGTGAATTTAGCTTTTAATTTCATGCTTCAAATGATATAGAGTAAATGATATAGATTATTATCTTTTGTGTTTCTTCTATAAGCTTGTTAATCTATTTAAAGTTAACTGTAACAACAAGAAGCAGCAAAACACGGAATAGAAGTTCCAAGGACTAGGCTTGCCCAGTCCTTATAGTTAATGCATGTTATGTACCTGGTTTCCTCGTCCATTAGATAATTTCTTTACACTACTGCAATTTGAGTTCATTTCAAAATAGAGTTAATTATGTTCATATTCCAGAGCTCTTGGCTCCACTTCCTGATTGAATCATATATTAAGGTATCTCAGGCAATGAGACTTCCAATTCAGCAGGGCAGTTTCTTAGAGAAAATAAAATAAAACCCTTCCCTGATGATCACGATACCATGCAAAAAGTTTGTGTGCATAAAACCTACACCTTCCTCCAAACACGAAGTAAGCACAAAGACAAGGCATGATGCCCTCACCTGGGTCAGGGGGCATACAGGAACAGAAGAAGTGAGTATTGTAGCCCACTTTGAAGTCAGAGTTGATGGGGTAGTAATCCACTAGCTTGATCATCTTCTTGAAAGCATCATAAATAAATATGAAGCTAATCAGAGAAGAAAAGCCCTCTTCTGTGAAGCGAGTAAAGTACTGAACCAAGAAGCTGGCATCAGTGGCCACCAATATAAAACACAGGAAGGCTGACCACAGGCCAATCCAAAGGCGAAACTCCAAGTAGTCAAAATTATGATCCCTGGAAAGAAGAAAGAAAAGTATTTTAAACTCTTTATCCATGGATTACAAAGAATATAAAACCACCAAATGTCTGCAAGAATGATTGCTAAAAATACAAAATCATTTTAAGTCATTAGATAGGAAGTTCATCCTTGATTTCATCCAGAAAATATTAAGGTTTTGGTCTAGTAATATTATTATGCTCCCAAACAGAAATAATTCCAGGAGTTTGAGAAAAGCATATCAAAAGCGGTCACAGCATTTATATGTGAATAACTCATTAATTTTCTCATTCAAAAAATGTGGTCTCTGTCTGCACATAGTTACATAGTAAACAACTCGAAAACCTAACACTGCTACCTCCCAGCAAGTGCTCAATACAGGCTTGTGAGCTTTACTGATTAATAAAAACATTATGATAATTTCTTCCTCTGTCCCCAAGTCATGGCAGGCTATTGAGGGAGACAAATAAATAAATATAATCACACTGTAAAAGTCGAAGTGCTATCTAAAGAAGTAACTAATTCTGAACAGGGGAATTGATAAAACTGCAAGAAAAACTCAAGGTATTTAAGGAGGAATGTTCCAGGCAGATCAGAGAGGGTCAGGCCAGGAAGAGGAAGGAGAACTTAAAACAGCATGTGGCATGAGACCACATGTAATGCTTACTGTGGACACAGCGTGACCAACACAAGGAGATGGGATCAGAAACATAATCTGGAGGGGATCCAGTGGATTGTCGTGGAGGACCTCGGGTGCCTTGGCAGTGAGCATCATGTAGTAACATGTACCTGAATGGTGAGACCCTATACCTCTGACTCGCATACAGTGTTGTATGTGAGTTATCTCAACAAAGGTAATAATAATAATTAAAACTACTTCATGGACAAATATGTCAAATAAGACAAAGAAACACAAGTTGTAGTCAGATCCGGAAAGACTGTCTTGCCTTGACAAAGCCAGATAGAGCCACTCTCATGAAGCCATGCATAGATGTGATATCCTTATGCTGAAGCTGTATTATGTAGCATCCCATGACCACTTTTCTCTCTCTACACCTGTCACACAAAGCTTTAGAATAGATCACCTCCACCTAAGGAGGCCATTTCTTTTTTAAACAATCTTTGTATTTCTTATAAGTGAATTAGTTCAAGATTCACTTATAAGAATTCACTTATAACTAGTAAGTATATTAGTTCAAGATCTAGGAGAAGATGGGTTAGGTGTTGATTATTCTTGACATTTTACCATTTCATACTGATTCTTTTTAGATTAAGTGGAGACTGCTTTACAACATATTTTCTCATAACTTGTTTGTGATGCAAAGGCAGATAGTAGTTACTTACATTTCTCATATGTAGGAGAGAGAGAAATAATTCAAAAATCATGCATGCTTGAAATTCTATAGTCTTCTTTTAAACAATGAGTTTCTCATAACTGTTAGGGATAAATTTTAGTACTTTCCCAAAGACATCACTTATCACTTTCATTACCACAACCCAGTCTAAGCCTCAAGAACTCTTTGCCAAATTATATATAAGAACCTCCTTACAGATATCCTTACTCATACCCACGCTTGCCATTTTCACATCACAAACAAAATTATCTTTTAAACAGTAAATCAGCATTCCAGTTTAAAACTTTTGATAGCCTACCACTAGCCTTAGAATAAAATTCAAATCCTCTAACCTAACACAGTGCCTAGCTCATAGAAGATATTCACTAAGCACCTGCTAGGTGGACTAATGAATGCCTATGGGCTTGAACTTGGTTGAGGCAGTTACTAACATTAGTTGATGAGCTATCACATGTACCCAGATGACTGAAAATTTTACAGAATATTAGAATGAAAAGTTCCTTAGATGCTGTGATAGTTATTTTTTGTGTCAACTTGGTTGGATCCAGGATTTTCAGAGATTTAGCCAAACATTATTCTAGGTGTTTCTTTAAGGGTATTTTTGGGGTGAGAGTAACACTTAAATTGGTGGACTCTGAGTAAAGCAAGATGCTTTCCATGATGTGGGTGGCCCTCACCCAATAAGTTGAAGGCCTGAATGAAACAAAAAAGACCGGCCTCCCCCAAGCAAGAAAGAATTCTCCAGAAGACTGCATTTAGATATCATTCTTAACTTTGGCTTCTACCAATTCTACAGCAGACAGCTTTTAAACTTAAACTGGAATAGCGGCTGTCCTAGGTCTTCAGACTGCTGGTCCACCCTGCAGATTTTAGACCTGCCTCCCTTTACTTATACTGGTATGACTCAATCCTCACAACAAATATGTTTATATGTATGTATGGATATATACATGCTTTAGACTCTCTCTGGACAATTTTAATACTAATTCAGATTAGTCAAATATGCCCCCATTTTATAGATAAGGACACAGAAGTCAATGGAGGTAAAGTCATTAACCCACTACTAAACATTTAGTGACAGAACTGATCCAGAAAACAAATATCTGTATTATTTGATTGGTTCTTTTAACAATCTCACCACAGTTTCTCCACCCAATTTGTACTTAGCTCCTTGATAAAGGCTTTGCTGTCCTCTCTTCAGTCATGTGGGGACTACATTACCAAACCAGGGTATTATTAATGATGCATATGTTCTGTGGGTTTCCTGAAATCCTTCTGAAGATAACATTTGCTTTTCTTTCCAGTTCCCTTTATTTCTGGAACCCCACTGTATAATCCTATCTTTGTGAGGTTAGTTGATTGTAGAAAAGTTATAGGAACTTTCCACTATTACACAAGTCAATGTTAAAACTAAGAAATACAGTTTCACTACTTCTGAGCCAACAGGTTCTTCTTAAAATAAGGCATATAAACAATGACCTAGTTTTTAAAAATAATTACCTAGGTTTGCTTGCCTAACAAGTTAGAGCAATCTTCATTTGTTCTAAGAATGCTTTGTTTATGGAAGTGGTACTTATAGGACAGGATGAGAAACAAATCCATTAGCTAATGGTAAAAAACACGAACAGTTTGCATACAAAGGATTAAAATGCCTGTATATCTTAAATCTTGGGAACTAAACCATATACCAAATTAGGTGCTCTGAAATACTTACATATTGCCAGAGTATAAAATCATTAAAGTCAATAGCATGTCATTGTGAATACATACATTTATAGCAGCAAGAAGAGGAATACAAGATCGGAAACTTTTTTAAACAAGTTGATCAACAATAATGACTATAATATAATGGCAATATTATATCCAAAAAGGTATCAACCCCTTGGTGTCAAGCTTAAATAGCAATTAAGCTATAAAAATTAACAGGAAATAATAGTAAAAATAAAGTTAATTATAGTGAGTTAGGACAGGGAAAAAGAGTTTATATCCTCATGGTACCACAGTGTATCTATATTTTTGAGTTATAGTTTCTCAGTAGCATAAAACCAAGGACACAGACAAAAGAATTGGCCTTTGAATCATGCTAAAGAAATTAATGTTCAGCCACACAAATAAATAGAAACTCCCTGAATTAAATTAGCAAAATCAGTAATGTAATAGAAAATAATAATTTGAAGGTCTATAAGTAAATTGTTCAAAGAATGTAAAGAAGAAATGATTAAATAAAAAATGACAATTATACTGGCTAAAATTTGACTTTAACCATGAATTTTCTACATGATTTAGAAAACAGGACTGAAACTTTTTTTAGATTAGTCACTTAAGAAAAGGAATGTAATGCTCTGCTATTGGACAACAATTTGCAAAAATAGTGTAAAGCAACTGAAAATTCAGGAAACAAAACCATAAATGCTTTTGGGAAGTTGTAAGTTATTTCCTTGATTCTGTACTAATTTTAAAAGGTGACCTTTGAAAGCATATCATTTATAATCCTTAATGATTCTCCAGTTTACAGGGCAAATATTAAAATCTGTATCACTAAACAGATAAATCTGTGGGTATGTGATCCAATTTTTTGTGTCCACTGAACCTACAAAGGAAGAATTTATCTATTTTTTTCTTTAAAAATGGTAAAATATATCAGATAAATCTAGGCAAGACATAGTAAAACAGGTTTTGGTTTGGTTTTTTGTTTTTGTTTTTTTTTTGTTTTTGTTTTTGTTTTTTTTTTTACTGAAGGACTTCTCAGATACTTTAGTAAGCTCAAGTATAACAGGAATTATCAAGATGGAGATGCAATACACATACTTCCCCATCTTTTAGAGATCACAGAAACTTTTATTTTTCTATTGTGCATCAAATGGGACTGATAATTGACAAAATACACTTTGGAGCATCATGATTTGCACAAGTACTCTGGATCTAGACAAAATATTAGCACTGCTATTAAAATATATAAGCAAATGATACAGTTTTGTGAATAAAACAATAAGGTTTGCCACATAAGTACCACATGTTAGTCAAATGATGGGTTTGAAGCACTGTTTCTCAAATGTTTCTTGTTGCTTTACAACTGTTTTCAAATAAATCTCTTGGAAATATGTTTACGTTACCAATTATGATGAAACAGAAGGGAAAGTGAGAAAGAAATTCACTTAGTGAAAGGAAAGAATCTCTATCCTACAATTATCTGAAGAAAACCAGGAAGCAAACATTTTCTGTACATTGAGGCTCTGATCACATTGCATCCCATAAATCTTTCTGCAGATTGTGCGTGTTTGTTCCTGTTTATAATGCATGCTTGTTTCATCTTTCCACAAAGACTTTCTTGTGTCATACAATGTTTTCTCAAATATTTGCTTGACTCCTTCTATAAACTGACATGAACAGATTTTTTCCAGGATTCTTCTGTGAATTAGGATGGAGAAGGATCGACAGAAAACTCAGAACATTATTTAAAATTTGGTACTTTAAACTCTCAGAGGACACTCACTGATGTTCTCAACCCAATTTTTAGAAAACCAGATTGTAATCCGTATTCTCTCCTCTATCTCATCTTCGTTTTTAATGGCTCACCCAATTTCCAAGGTTTCATATAAGCCCTAAGTTCATGAGGTATTATATAGGTAATGACATTTGTAACATTAAAATCCTAAACATTTATAATGATATAAAAATGTGGAAATTGCAAAAGCAGTTCTGGTTAAGTCATATGATATCTTGCAAATCTGTATAAGGATTGAGAACTGCCTGTAAAAGCAATTCTCTTAGAAGCATCAGAAAAGCATCATTTCATCAGAATGAGACCAGAATACCCAACGTGATTTTGAATCTGTATATGTGCAAATGTGGCCACTGGGATGATTCACTTAATTCAATTGTCTCCTACTTAAAATAAGCCATCAATTTCTAAAAGAAAATATTTATATCATAATTGCCAGGCCCATTTAGTAATGTCTAGTGGTTCTCTAAGAGGAGTAGGGTCTGGAGTCAGAAAGCGGGAATTCAACTCCCAACCCTGCCAACATTCAGCAGTTTATTCCACACCAGCGTTCTCAACTATAAAACAGAACACAGTCCCTACCTCACAGCACTGCTAAAAGAATTAAATTATGTAGTACATGCAACCCACTTGTTATGTGTTCATCATTCAGTAAAATTGTTATAGGACAGGGAGAGGGTCAGCCCAAACCCTGCAAACCTGCCTATTCTACATGGGTTCTGCCATCCGCCGCATCAACACAAAACATAGGAGACTTTAATGGGAAGGAACTTTAATTAAACTAGGAAACAATACAGGTAAGGCAAAGAGTCTAGTTTCTAAATGAAGCACCCAAAGTTACCCATCCCCTCGTGGGTAAAAGTCCATCCATATGGGATCGGCCCAGAACAAGGCCCCAAAGTCTACCACAAGTCTAAAACATCTTCCAGTGGGGACCCACAGAAAAGGGTCACAAACAACTGGACAAGCCCGGAAGGAAAAGAGCAAAATCAACATCAAGATAAAAGCTGCCATGGTCACCTCCCCACGGGTCTCACCCACATCTGTGTCACCCCGTCCACGACCAAAAGACAAGCGCAGTTTCTTCACGTGTCTCTAGGCTCCATGCGCCTCCTCCAAGTCTCCTTGCTCCATCCTGCTTCCTTCCTCCGTCTCTTCCTGCAGCTTCTTCTTTTGCTGCTCAGCTCCACCCTCCCTTGGGTGGGGCAGGGAACCTCCCCCTTTCCTGGGGACCACCCTGTTGCAATATTAGTTATTATTCAGCTGAGTCTTTGAATGTACCTTCAGTTAAGACCACTGGAATTGGGGTTAGGAACAGATTGTAGGAGCTTGCAGTCTATTTCATTAATGCCCATTTAACTTTGAACAAATCACTTAATTTTTCTAGTGTGTAGACAGGAACATGGCAGGAAGCAAAAGACATGCTCAAATGGGATTCTGAGGAAAATTTAATAAATAGTCTATTTACAGGGATGTAACAGAGAATGGTGAGGGGCTTGGACACAAGCAACATCAGGAAGAGTCACCAGGGTCTGATGAGGGATAAAAAACAGGGTGGAGGAGCACTGGACAGGGTATGTAACACTATGACAGAACAAACCACAGCCAGTGTGGCGTTACAGCAGAGCCACTTAAGTATTGGGAGGGAGACACATCCTGATCTCTCCCTGTTATGCTGGTGCTCTGCACTAGCCAAATTTAATAGCAATTCCGAGGCAATAAAGTCTAGGTACTGTGGTCCACAGGGGTCATTCCCCTGAGATGCATATTAGGACTCTACGGGCAGGGCATGATGGGGAAGGCAAGCAGATAATTCAACAAGTGGCTTCAGGTGAATCAAATATGAAATGTGCATTGGACTACACTATCTTGAAGGGTCTTTCAACCTCCAAGTCTTAACATTCCTGTGTTCTGAGCAACCTGGCTGAGATTCTGTGCTATAGTTACACTATGAATGCTCTACAAGTATAAAATTCTCTTTGTAATTATATGTATATACATACTTGCTGAAATTAAATAGAAGCCTTTCAAAAACTAGAACAGGTCCTGTGCTGCTCAAAATAGTGAGTGGTTGACCAGCAAAGAGGCAGAAGATGGCTCCAGAGACAGCTGTGCCCAGGAAGCTCTCCAACACGCCCTAAGAGAAAGAAAACACAGGTGTTAAAAGAAACACATCTTTTTTCTACCAATGTGTGATGTCACTGGGGAAATTAAACTGCATGAATATGCTATTACAATGGCTGTATCAAATGAATATGAATAAAGATTCTTGTCAATATGAATATTACCATTTATTTACTTCACCACACACACAATTTAGCCATTCCACCCTGCTCCATTGCTTGAATTTTTCCAAAGAATGGGTGGTCGTAATGACGCATGATTCACCACAGAAGACAAAAAAGATGACCTTGGTCATAGTGAAAATGTAGCTGAAGCTTTTCTACATAAAGTCACATGATGTAATCCCCTCAAGAGGGCAGAGTGATTCAGTGTTTTGGGTAGCAATTTCTCTTTGGGGTTACTTTCAGTGTTGGAGTTGAATTCACTTGCACATAGCAGGAATTTATGAGTAGTTACATTTTATGCACAAAAGATATTGTTTTTCTTGAAGAAAGCTTTTAAAGTGGAGAGGAGAACAAAGGAGAAATAAAAAGTGCCCTCCATTTTACAATCCCTATGACAATTCAAAAAAAATTCTTATTATATATTTATGGCCCAATGTAAATTTATACAAAAGCTTCGATTTATTTTATTGCTGGGGGAAATAAAAATGCAGGGATCTGAACAAATAAACTTTGTGGCCACATCTCCCTGCATTAGCTCTCTGAAAATCAACCCATTTCTTTCTTTTAGCATAACAAGAACACAGAAACATGAGCCATAAAGCATCACTGACTTATAAAATTATCCTAATGTTCTCAATCATGCCATTTGGGATGAATGTCCCAGATACTAGAAAATGAACCTGTTTCCTATGCTTTTCATCATTTCAAACTTCAATTAGAAAATCACATGCTTATTTGTAGAAAATTCTTATTTGTAAACTTAAAATGGTGTCTTATCAAGGGGTTGTTGCAAATATCAAAAAGATGACAGAAACCCTTTATTCATACATAGGCTATAAATCTGAACCATAAAATTGGTAAGATAAAACATTTTTAAATGAGTAAAGACATTTTATAGCTTCAAAAGACACAAAAATATATTTAGTGGTAGATGAATTTACACAGCGGAAGAAAATTATATGATCTGTGTAACCAGATATATCCACTGAAACAAAATGGTACTAGAAAGAGTTCTCGCTTCAACTGAACAATAAATTACCTATTCATAAAAGTATGATTTATGTTTATATTAAAAAGTCATTTCTTAATGTAAACTATCCTGACAGGAACAGAGTGAATATCTGGGGAATGTGACATGCCCCTCAGTCATGTCCTATACACCACTCAACCAGTTAACCTATTCATGTCTGTCTACCTCACTAATTCATCTCTTGCCCCTGCCACAAGTTTTTCAGCAACTTTTCATCACTAATCATTTAATAGGCACAAACTGACTCTAAAGAAATTATTTTACAAATCAACTTAAAGACACAAATACACTGTTTTTCCCAATACAAAGTCACCTTTGTTTTTATTTTAAATTTTACTCTATTTACTAGTACTCATAGGATATTAGCAATAGCACATCCCCCTGTTTTAAGGGTAGCATTTATTTCTCAAAACAGATAAAATCTTTCAGAGTAGCACTATGTAATAATAGAGCTGGGGTGGAGTTGGGGCATAAAAGCAAGGTTGACATATAATAAGATTAACTTGTCACATGATGTTAGACATATTTGGAAACAATTCCTTGCAACTACTTCCCTCCAAAAAGTCTGGGTTTGGGCCTCCCCTGGTGGCGCAGTGGTTGAGCACTGGGCTGCAATCCCCGGCCACTGGCGAGGGTCCCACATGGCGTGTCAGACCTCTCCTGCTGCGCCTGCTGCTCCCCTCAGCAGTGTATTTCGTCAGTCTGCCTGTTCTGTTCCCCGCTCTGGTGCTGGTGAATTCTCTCACCCTCCCATGCTTCTGACTGTACCCAGTGCTTGTATTTAAAAAAAAAAAAAAAAGTCTGGGTTAGATTTTTGGCAGAAGGGTCTTGTAAGGAGACTCGATACACATGGATATGAGTTTTACTGCTTAGCTTCAGGGTGTCATCTCATTTTTCTATAGCCATTCCATACATAGTGAGAGAGGATCCAGTTCGTTCTTTCTCACAGGGACAGAAAGAGACTCCCTATTGCCCACAAGTAGTGTTAGTCTTAATCTCTCATATGTAAAGAAAATGAGATTTGGGGGAGGTTAAATGATATGAACAAATCCAATTCAATGTTGCACAAATCTTTGGAATATGGGTATTTATCCAAACACTGCCTCACTCTTGGACAGGATGAAAGTTGTGCCTTCAGCTGGAATGCTTATGGATATGCACTTTTTCACCCCCTGTGCACTGACATTGGGCTTATGGTTTTATAATTCATCTTTCTTTTTCAGGCTTCCTTTAATATGTGTTACAACAAAGGATAAGACTGGAATTGTCTGTATGACAGGACATGTAACTCTTGGGTTATATACGATAGGTCAACTTTCATAGATTCACGCTTTATCAAACAGGGAGAAGTATTTATTTCTCATCACTGTTACAGGAGTCTAATACAACACAGCCTGGGTGAGAGAAGATGAAGGAAAAAAGGATGAATGTGAGATTAAGAACTCTCTACTGGATCACCACTGATCTCTGTGACACTCAGTATTCCCCAGCATCACCCATGCTTCTCTTCCTCCATCTTACTATACACTGTCCCTTCCAGATTCAGGAAACATAAGGAGCGGAAGAGAAAATGTCCAAGTTGCACCCTCAGTTCTAAGAGGTCAAAAGCCATTTAGTAAAGATAACAAGTAATTTCTTTCAGAAAACAGCTTTGATTTATGGAAGCCATATGACTGTTAAAAGGCAGATTATTTTTATTTCAGTACTTGATCCTTTGGTAAGTACTACAGTTTCCATTCTGTTGCTTACAATTTTGAAAACACAGATAGGTGACTTATTATACATTGCACTGGAAACTTGCTTAAACTTAGAGAAGCTTCCAGCATTTCTGAGAAAAGAAACTATTTTCACTATATTTTGACATGTTACTCTTGACGATACAGAAAATTTTAAAATAATATCAAGCAATGAATAACTTCAATTAAACTGCAACTAGAATTGAAAGCAATTTATAAGGTGAATTATCAGAAATACTTTTTCTGGTTTATTATATTCCATGTTCATTAATATAAAAAGGAAAACAATATGTGGATGTGTGTATTTTAATGTCTGCAACTCATGAAGACAATTCTACACTTGACTTCTCACAGAGGAATAAACTCCCTAGTAAATTCATGAGAATACAGATGGCCGAGCTCTGATGTGTGATGTAAGAAGCTTCATTTTGGGTTAGCTTTTATTTCTATTCATTTCTGATTAGGTGACATCCATTGTGGAATAGCTGAAAGAGTTAACAATTGGCAGTAATGAAATCTAGAGTCTATACTCCATTCTACCACCAAAATGCTGATAACTTTGGGAATATCACTTAATCTCTGTCAATTTCTTCTTATAAAAGAAAAACATCATATAACATAGTATAACAATAAAACTGGAGTCAGATGGTCTCAAATTGACATCTAGACTGCACCACTGACACAATCAGTAACTCTTAAAGATATATTTATTTATGAATACAAGAACTGAGGTACAGGCCAGAGGTGTGGGGGATGAGAGGATTCACCAGAGACAGAGTGGGGGACAGAACAGGCAAATTGATGGAAGTACACTGCTGAGGGGAGCAGTGGGCGAGTAAGGAGAGGTCTGCTGCGCCATGTGGGAAGTTCCCTGGCTGGGGATCGAATTTGTGCTGCAGCGGCTACAGACAGCTTCATAGGTTTTGTCTTAACCCCTTGTGCCACCAGGGAAGCCCCCCACAATCAATAACTTTTAACAAGTTACTTTAGCAGCCTTTCTATGCCTTATATAGTTAGTATGCACATTCAGTTGGACAATGTGCTATAGCAGAGCCTCTGATAGATAATATTCTTTGATGAATACATACACATAATGTATTTATGTAGACAAGAGATGAGGAGGCAGAACTAGATGATTTCCATGTCTTTTCCAAAGAACATACCTTGGAGTCAGGGATGTATGAGTTTAAATGTCAGTTTAAACAGTTATCAAACTTTCTAAATACTAACTCTCTCTTCCGTAAAATCATAGCTTTTAAAATAATATCAAGCAATGAATAACTTCAATTTAACTGCAACTAAAATTAAAATTAATTTAAAAGGTGAATTATCAGTTTCATAAGAAAACTATTTGGATTAAATAAGACAATAATGTTTAAAGAGCTAAGAATAAAGTAGAGCTACAGTTAAATGCTGGTTCCCTTTCATTTTCTGCTTCTCATTTCCTTTTTTAAATATAAAAAGATCACAGAGATCCTGTATTAATACAAAAGGTTATAAATCTGAACCACAAAACCTGTACGATAAATATTTTTCAAATGAGTAAATAAAGACATTCTGTAACTTTAAAAGACATAATTATTTGTCTTTTCCTCAAAATAGGAAGAAGAAGATAGATAGTCAAGAATGACATGCATGGAAAGAAATGATGATTAGTCCTCAGAGGAAAAGGTAACGGGGTGTGTGGGTGTGTATGTGTGTGTGTGTGTGTGTGTGTGTGTGTGTGTGTGTTGGGGAAGAGGGGGATAGGGAAAGTAAGCTCAAAAAAACACTTTGTTTTACTTTACAGTAATGAAATAAAAAAAATCCACATCCCAAACAATTCGTGAACATTTTTTGATTACATGAAGGTATCAAGTTAAATCAAACAGAGTCCTTGTTTTACAAAACAGCCAAAGAAACTCAACACAAGCACCATAATAGAAAAACCAAGCATAAAATAAACCAGAGAATTACAGCAAGATTCTTTTTTTTAAGATCAAGATTCTTAAAAAAAATCACACTTGATTGGTAACACCAGTATTCATGTCTTTGAACTAGTTGTGACAAGGGCTGCTTGGGCCATCATATCTGTCACTACCAG